CTACCATGTTTACTGTCTCCTTTATTTAGACTTAAAATGCTGTCTTCACCCTAATGTTCTGCAGCCATACCTAATATGAGATGCCTATGAATCTCCTCACTAACTTCACTAACTGGAAGCTTCTCCTCTAGATGGGCTTCAGTTGACTTTAAATGGTGGCACTCAGAATGAAACACAACAAATTCCAGCATGATCTAGCTAGGATAACTACTAGAATTCCATCTAACATCACATAAGCCTGTATAATAGGTTTTTCAATTGGATACATTTTAGTCTCAGTTTCAACTGAGGTCACTAGATGATCAGTGCCACACTCCACAATGAGACAAGAGACCCCAGGCAGGGGTTGCAAAAGAGATGTCTTAGAACCCGTGTCACAACTCTTAGTGGCCCAGCTATTTCAGCCCTGCCCGTGCATCTCCCAACCCCCGCCGTCATACGAGGTGAACTGCAAGAAAGTAGATAAATTATTAGGAGATATTTTTGGAGCCAGCTGGTGGTATGTGTTGAATCCCACTTCCCTGTCACCATGGAGAAGGGTGAGACTTCCCACACTTCACTATATGCCTAGGGAAAGGGGTTTCAACTCATCTGCTCTGATATCATAGTTCATTGGTTGCTTCTTATTTTCCAGACATGGTATTAAGACCTTGAAAAATGTTACTTATTTCTCACAGTCATCTTAGACAGAATGCATAATTCTCATTTTATTAAGCAGGCAATTAAGTAGCTTGCCCAGGAGCTCACATGTGTTAAGTAGCTTAGCCTGAACTCGAGTTTGCCTGACTCTGAGGTCCAAGCTTTTAACTACTGATTTATTTTGCTCTTGGTTATGGTCAGCATGACCCTTTAACCACAGCTACTGATTTTACTGTGTAAGGTTTTCCAGTGGGCTCTGGGCAATTAAAAATGAGTGAGAAGATTACTCACAAGTTGTGGTGTAAATAAACTATTCCTTCTAAGGACTTGTACTATTATAAAGAGCATAGATAGAAGGGACAGTTTGTGACACTAACCGAAAACAACGGAGTTAACCTGAAAACCACTTGCTGTCTTTCTCAACCGAAAATGCAGAGCTGCTTCCACCTAGAGGCCAACAGGAGAACTGCAGCCTTTCCTGTCCTACAATGCACTTTTCATTAACCAGCAGCCCAGTCGTTAGGCTGAGGACGCCATGCCCCACCTCACCGGGTGGCTCTAAAGCTTCAGCCAGGAGTAGTGTGGGTCCCAGGGAACACAGTGTATATGAGTGGATCAAAATGTCTTGGGGATCGTGCAGAATAGAGAGCTCTGGAGCTGTAAAGATCATAGCACCCATTCTGCCAGCCTAGGATTGATCCTGGGGGACCCTGGAGGGTTCAGAAAGACCAAGCCCAACATTACTTCCTCTTCTGTGAAACGTGGGAGCTGGGAAGATTCAATTCAATTCAGCTGGTATTTGTTAAGACTTACTGGCAGAATTTTCAGTACTTGGGATGTGCTGGTGAACAAAACAAAGCTGTCTTCGTGAGGCTCAGATGAGATAATGCATTTGAAAATATTTTGTAAACACTGCTGTGCCACATGCACAGTGATAATTGTCCTTTGTGTTTCTACTGCATCAGGAAGCTCTGTCTGTTTCTAACTAATGTGCCCGGGGTCCAAGAAAGAAAGTGCTATCCTGACTCAGGGTAGGAAAGACTTCATGTTAGAATGTGTGTGCATTTCTAAGGAAGATTTCAATGTGCAGGCACCTGTGAGGATGGCAGGTGTAGAAGCAGAACAAGTCGCTCAAAAACCTATACAGACAAATCCCTCTCACTCTCTGCCCAGGCTCTAGACTCCCATAGTTAGCTTTATCAACTCAATCCTGGTTTAGTTCCATTCCGTGCAGCACACATTTATGGACACACGACTCTAACTTCAGTCCTAAGCTAGGTTCTGGGGACACAGAAAACATGGACGATGAAAGACTTGGTGCCCCTCTTTGAGAAGCTACAGTGAATGGCTCAGAGCCAGGCTCACAGTGTGAAGTGAACAACTCCATTCAGGTAACTCTGAATTCAGCTGTACGTTATAGATCCCCTTTCATATTATGGCCTCACCCTAGAAATAACATTGAGAACTGATTCGTCTTGTGTTATTCTCTAAAAGTACCAAGGTTTTTTGTTTGTTTGTTTGTTTTGGTTTTGGTAAAGATTTTATTTATTTATTTGACAGAGAGAGAGATCACAAGCAGGCAGAGAGCCAGGCAGAGAGAGAGGGAAGCAGAGAGAGGGAAGCAGCTCCCTGCTGAGCAGAGAGCCCGATGCGGGGCTCGATCCCAAGACCCTGAGATCATGACCTGCAAGACCCTGAGATCATGACCTGAGCCGAAGGCAGAGGCTTAACCCACCGAGCCACCCAGGCACCCCCAAAAGTGCCAAGTTTTTGATTCTGGAACAGTTCTATAGTTGCAGGAATAGTACCACCTCCTTCAACTGTTACAGAACCTGGACGGGATCCTGGCAGAAGAACCAATCGGAAGAACCACTCGGAGACTTTGGAGGATCGGAAGTTTATTTAACACCAGTGGGCTCAGAGGAGGTTGTTTCCAAAGGTCTGAGCCCCAAGCACAAGCAGGGAAGGGAATTTGTACCCTTCTACTTCTGCATACTTGGTACTTTTGGCACATGCAGGAAACCGGGTAGGAAAGAAGAACCCAGAAGGGTTGGAACTCCCTTGCTGGTTTGGTCAGCCATCTTAAGAATACAGTGTTTCCCTATTACAACCATTAACAATGTCCAGTACAACTTGGGGAATTAAACAAATTAAGTTACATTCTATGTCTTTTCTGTGGAAGAATCTCTGATTTCCCAAGATACATGTGTCCATGTGTGTGTTTGCTTGTTGATCGTACAACACTTGGTGTTTTCTCCCTCTCTTCATCTTCTCCATTAAGTCCTGATACCTGGATCTGGGACCTGCTGTTGGCTCAGGAGGGAAGTGATGGTACCAAAGATACAATTCCGACATCTCCTTTCCCATACCTTTGTGATCTATGGTATTTGATTCTGAAAAATAGCATGCTGGTTTTAATGCTGATTTTTCTTCTGTTCTTCTTAGTCTCTCAAAACATGGTCATCTGTTTCAGAATCAGAATTTTATACAAGACATTTGTAATGCATGAACACCTGCCCCCCCTCCCCATGCCTGGTTTCTGAATTCAAATCTTTGAGGTTGGAGCCCCCACTTCTGCATTTATAACAAGTGACTTTGGAGATTCTAGGGTACACTGAAATTTTAGACCCATTGCCCTGGGTGCACTGTTAGCAGAAAGAGTTCATTGTGAAAAGTCCCTGGGTAGAAAGCTAGCTGCTAAGTCTGGGACTTTTCCTGTAATGGGTTATGTGCTTTTGGAATGGGTTTCTTCTCCCAGATCAATAGAGCGTGAACATTGTAGATTTTAGGGCACAGGGAAAGATTTGTGACTCACCAAAGTAGCATGTGTGCATTGTAGCTGCCTTACACCATAGGTAATTCCATTCTTTGAATGAGTACTTAAAAAACCAAAAATTATTTTTCCCAACTGTTAAGTAAAATAAGTCAATAAAATTTAAAGTAAAATTGAAGGTATCCCTAATGCAGCTTATAAATTAATGATTACTGTCAACATATATATCCTTGTTTTCGGTGACAATTGGATTTATAGTCCACATATGGTTTTGCATCAACTTTTGCATTTTTTACCTTTAAATTTACATTTATGTATTTGAATACAAGTGAATTAAAATGTGAAAATAACAAGTTTTAGTCATAAAAGCTTACTAGTTCAATATGCCCTCAAAGGATATTGTATCAATACCAATTTTAGGCTTTTACCCTAAATATTATAACCCAGTCACTTATATGTTGGAGAAAAAAAAAAAAAAAGAATCCTTCCTTGAGCTGTTCCTGAAATTAATATCTTATTGGCTGATTCTTCCCAAAGTAATGACCTATTTGTAATTCTTCTGTTCCTCACCAACCCCTTCTTTTTCTATGTCCCTCTCTCTCGGATTAAGAACTATGCAAAATAGTTTTTACTATTGTCACTTGAATTTTGTGTTGTAGTTAAGAGAATTCTCTCTAATGACGATAAAATGGTGTGTGTATGCTCTTTTAAGTATTTTTAAAAGACTACTGGTTATGGAATATTTATACCCAATAAGAACGCCCACTCAGGTATAGGTAAAACTGAAGGGCTGTATCAAACACTTATTTTAAAATCCTTTTTCCTAACACAAACAGGATTTTTTTGGACATATATTCAAACAGCGGTCCATGGGAGAAAAGTAATCCTGTAGGGAATTCTTGGTCATGTTGATCTTTACCATTTAGCTACTATTGTCAGATACTCTTCCAAATGATATAGAAACGCAGTATCATTTAATGCACACAATCATCTCATGAAGATGGCATTCATACTTCCAATATTACAGAAACCACAACCCAAGTGCCCTCAGCCTCTGAGCTTCAGAGCCAGGATCTCAGCGCAGAGCCGACTGGATGAAAATGCCAGTGCCCTCCCTCCCACCCTGTGGTGCCCCAAAATTAGGAGGTGTGACTCCACCTGGGGCCAGGTCCTGGAATCCCCTTCAAGGGGCTGTTCTGCCCAGCACTGTGGAATGCAAATTCCCTGGAGCTAACACTTGTTTAGTACAGTTGCACGGGTAACCTAAGGCAGTCAACACATATTAAAATAGTCCTCATAATAAAATGGCACGCAGTCAACCGTGTAGCCTCCTTACAGAGGGGGGAGGAGAATAGCTCACTTTCCCCAGAGGGCCTGAGAAAGATCAGCTTACAGGCGTCAGCATGGGGTGTGACCCTTCTTCCTTCTCTCCATCTTGGCCCTGGCACGTGCCTCAGATGACCATCATTTCACATCAGCTCACAGTCTGGGCAGAAAACGTTACCAGGTCCCCTTCTCTCCCCTACCCAAAACACACTCAGCACTTTGGCTCACCTGGCTTCTGATTGGAGGCTGGGTGCTTTGGATAATGACCTCCAGGACCCCTCTGTGGGTCACAGCCTGTTTGCATTACTCTGACCACAACTTAAGACATCTGCAGTGGGGTGTGAGGAAAAGTAAAAGCCTGGTGTTTTCACATTCCCAGGTAGCAGAAGCTCAGAAGCCTGACAACGTTCCAGCCACCTGAGCGGGCCCAGGGCTGGCAGCTGCCCATGTGTCCCTTCCAGATAGGCTGCTCGCTAAAATGAGGGATCTTCTTCAGTACGCCGCCTGCTTCTTTGCCTTTTTCTCTACTGGGTTCTTGGTTGTGGCCACCTGGACAGACTGTTGGATGGTGAATGCTGACGATTCCCTGGAGGTAAGAAGTCAGCACCTTCTTTTTCTGACCCAAGCCTGTCCGAATTTTCTCTCAGTCCCACTGTCTCAGGACACTTACCAGGGCTAATGAAAGACATAATGGCCAACATGGATGGACTTACTCCTTACTGAGTCTTACCTTATTAGCTCATTTAATCATCACAGCTAATGAGGTAGGTAGTGTTGTTATCCCATTTTATAGATGAAGTAACTGAATAATCCCTCTTTTTTTCATCAGGATGAACTCACATAAAGGCAATCACATAACCCCTGTCACTGAACCCTCCAGAAACTCACCTCTTCCACTGCTGCATATACTAAATTGAAAAACATTCCAGTGACATCCTTTCTCACAACCAAACACTTTCTAATCTTGATGATGGCATTATGAGTAGCATGGGAGCCTCTCTTAAAAAGTGATAATGTAAGAAATCGAGTAATCAAGCTCAAGGTATATAAAACTTACCCTATTATTATTATTATTATTACTATTACTATTACCTATTATTATTACTATGCAAGAGAAGAATGTTATTTTAAGGAGTTTACAAGTAGGAACAAGTACTCTGAAGGAGAACAAATCTTTCCTGTGGGTCTCGAAGTAACAGCGACAAATATGGATTTATAAAACCCTCTCAAAAATAAGCTGTTCTTGGAAGCCAATTGTTAAGTAAGAAATGAGTGAGTGGTTCACATCTCAAGCATTTTATTTTTCTTACCGGAGAAGCTTGAAAAGAAGCAATTTGGAAGTTTACAATAATTTCCTGTGGCTAGAGGAATTTGAGAGAGGTAGAACTGAGCAAAAATCTAATCTTCAAAATCAGCTATGATTCATTAGTAAGGCTTTAGAAAATGTAGGTAAGAAAAAGAAACAATATATCAGGAACTCAAAAACTATATAGCAACCCAATCTGCTTTCTTATGTATATCCTGAGGGGAACAATTTGTTCTAACAAATGCTGTAATGTCACCTCTATGAAGTTTAGGAAAGATACCCAAGAGCTAGTCTCTATATTTTTTTTCTTCTAATTTTATTTATTAGACTCTCAAGATGAAGTTAGAAATGGAAAGTAATAATCTTCCTATTTTGATGTGTATTATTTTTGCATTTATTTATTTATTTACTTATTTATTTTGCTTTTAATTTTCTTCTGGCTTCTACATGGCATTTCAAAACTAACGGGGTTAGTTATAAATACTTCTTTAGAGCCAGAAACTTGTGTTTCTGAAAACTACGATAGAATTGAAACACTGCCAAGAATGTCTGCTCTATGCAAGTCCAGTGATGTATTTTATCTGGCTGTGCATGTCAGTGGGGAATGAGAAACACAACGCCCTTTGAGTGGTGCTCAGAGAAAAGCGCAGATAAAAATGTCTTCTGCCGTTAGTCCCAGAATCTGGATGGCCAGAAGCAGGAGATTAATTTAGAAATATGCTGACCTAGAGCACATTCAAAAGTAATTTTTTACAAATATGCAAAATCTTATCTAAAAGCACTGTTAAAATGTTTTCTAAAACAATTTGAAAATCTTTCTGCTCAAGATGACAGCATTACTAACTTCACTTGGTAAGAAATGGAAGTTTAGAAAGGGTCGGACCTTGCTGAGAGAGATTGAGAGTCCTGGCCTTTAAAGCACCTTCTTGCTCTGATTTCAGTATCCAACCAATTTGCCATCTGCTCTGTGTAAGAACACTGCTAGTTAAAATGAATGGAACGAGCAGCCCAGGTTATGCACCTCAAGTAAATCCTTGCTAATCTTGGAGAAGAGTTAGTATTTTTTAGCTTCTTTCTTTTTCTCATACTTGAGATGTATTACACACACATTTCTCAAAAAGCCTCGACGTTAAAACAGAAACGCTGAAACAAATGAGGCCTCTTCTCTCCAACGATCTCTTTATTTATCAATATGTTTAAAAGGACATGGCTCTCTGGTAATAATTGCTCCCCCAGTTGGCTGGCATATAAAGGCATACAGTTATCCACAGATTTGGGGGTTCCGATCATCACAGTCTCCATTCTACTGTTCTCTCTCCTTGCTTCCTTCTTACATCATCTTTGGTCCTTATTAATGTCTTACTTTAAGCAACTATAGGACAAAAGTGGACACAACAGAAGTGATTTTAAAAAAAACCTACCCACGGAGTATTTAAACACAAAGGAGTATTATGAATTTTTAGCTCCGTTAGCTTTGTTAATCTTCTAGGGTGACGTAGGCGTCAGAGTTGGAAAATAGATTCTACAGTTCAATTCAACATAACGAATATGAAATGGATGGCATATAAAAAGTATTGTGCTGATCTACCAGGGGAGGCAAAGATAAAGCGAGAGTGGGTCTTGCCGTCCAGGAGTGGACATTTAGTGTGGAGAAAAAGATAAACACGAAACTATAATGAAAGGCATAGGCCAGTTCATATTTGAGAAAGAAATGAACAATGTACCATTGGAGGAAAGAAGATAGAATTATTATTTCCCGTTGGGGAGGTTGAAGCAGGCCTCAGGGAGGAAAACACATTTGAGCGAAGCCTCCAAAAGATGCAAAGGATTTCAAAAGGTCGAAATGGCAGCAGGGGACTTGCAGACCAGAGGACACATCGCCAAAGTAAAGAATGAGTAAAAGATCAGGGCTCGTTAGAGGATGAAGGTGAATAACCAAGACCACGAGGCAGAAAAAGCTCAAATATTCTTTTGTCTTACTACAGAATCCTAAAAATGGCATAAAATATTATTCTGCCTTACTCAGGCCTCCCTTGAAGAAGGAAATTCTTTGCATGAAGTAAAAACATTAGGAAAAAAAAGAAATGGCCCAGGACTGACCCATTGCACAACCCTAAACCAGGGACAGCAGCCCTAGCCCCCAGCCTGCTCCTTCATTAGTGATTTCCCTGTGTTTCTGGGAAGACCCATATGCTGGACAGAACTTGGTCTTTAAGATCATTCCAGCCTGTGTTTGCGACTTGCCTGTGTTCCACTGAACAAGACTGGACTCAGTCTTCAGCCCAGTTTCTTCAATTATGAAACAAAGTAAACTGCGTTGTTTTAAAGTCCTTCCTCTGTCTTCACATTCTTTAATAACATCATGACTCCTTGACTATGACTGGTCTGCAATCCCAGAGATGTAGCCAGTCACTGAAGGACCGATGGTGTTTACAGCCTCCCCCAGAAACTTCTACTAGGAATCTATCGCGAACATTCTCCATTTCTCTATAACTTCATACACCCATCCTTCCTTTCTCCCATCCTCCTTGTCTCCTTATTTATTTCTTCTTCCTGTCCTTCCCTTCATCCTCTTTATTCCCCTTCTTCCTCCCTCTTTTTTCCTGTTTCCTTCCCTCTCTCTTCTATCCCTTATGCTCTTCCTCTCCTTACTTATTCTTTTTCTTTCCAGTCATTTTTCCTTCCTCTCCGTTTCCTTCCCTTTCTCTCTCCCTTCATCCCACAAATACTGTTTGATATCTCTGTCCGCCCGGTGCCATGATGGGTACAGCTTAGGAAGGAAGATGTAACCTAGATCTACATTAGGTTACTCCCAGCATGCTGGCAGAGACAGACAAGTGAGCTGGCAGTTACAGTATGGTGTGACACATGCCATCATAACTCAGAACACTGAGTGGCCAGCTCGCCCAATCTCAGATAATGAGTAAAGGCAATCCAGAAGAAGAAATACCTAAACTAGGACTTGAAGAATAGATGGGTGAGGGAGAAGTCATAGGGTATCCCCAGCCTAGAAAGGAGGATGGGCAGAGATCCAGATATGAGAGCAACATTAATGACTTTGGACTGCCTCAGCACCATAAGAATTTCCAATGTAGGGAGGAGAATATAGGAGCTTGATCCCAAAGGCTTTGTGTTCACATAAAATCAAGATCTTACTCAGTAGAGAAAGGTGCTTCACTGAAAACAAACAAATGCATGTGTTTCACAAAGATCAATTATTCTGGCTACTTGTGGGGAATGGCTGGAACGGGTAGATGAAGTGTAGGGAGACTAACTGGGAGGTCTTCGCCATAGAATAGAAGGGAAGCGATGGTGGTTGGACTACTGAGGCAGCAAGCATAGCAAGACGTGTGAAAACACGGGAAACTCTAAAGAATTCCCATTAGCAGGATTGATAATTCCATGTGGGGAAAGGAGCTGATTCAAGGGAGAAGTCAAGGCTGAAATCCACTTAATCGTTTTTAGGCAGTTGGAGGAATGGTAGGGTTACCAAGAGATTAAATAGAAGAAAACTAGTCTCTATACAGAAGTCATCAAGCAGCAACGTCCCTGGACCATCCCACTATTCTTTTTTTTTTTTTTTCTTTTAGATTATGATACAGCACCTCAAGGGGACCCGTAATACAATGCTTTGTAGTGAGGAAGTTATAGGTTGCACTTGATGTTCAAGGACCTGAGATTAAATCCCGCACTGCCGGGTAATACCTGTATGGTTTTAAATTACGGACATTTAATTTGCTATAAAGCATATTTCCTCTTCTGTAAAAGAATAATAATATGCACATCATAAGTGTCTTGTGAGGATTAAATGGGCTTGTGAACCTAAAGCATTTACCACAGTACCGGGCAAACACAAATCAGTCGATAAACAAGAGATATATTATTGTCTATTTGCAGTTTATTGTCTTGTTTTTGTTCTGGAGGAGGAGATGACATTTTGTATAATGTTCACTGAAGGGAGAGATATGAGATTTATGTTCTATTCCTGTTTTCACTATTGATTCTCTTGGAGAAATTTGTTTACTTCTCTGAGCTGTGGTTTGCCCATTTTTATACTTATGACTGCTCCTTTTTTGTCTAACCAGGGAATAAGGCAGACAATAGAGACAAAATAGGATAAGGTACCCATTGAATACATTTTAAAAAGAAAAATAAATTGTGAATTAATTATATTGTTAGTATGTTAACTCAATTAGAAGATGGGTATTTCTTCATTATCCACACTGAAATAAAAAAAAAATAGTTTCTTCCAAAGTTACTGGCCTTTCAATTATCAGAAGGAGAGA